TTTATAGTAATAAACTCTTCAATATAGCAACTTTACCCTTCAGAATGGGGACTTAGAAGGAGTTGGGAGGAGAAGAATAGTTAGATAAAAGAATAGGAGAAGGTTTTAAGTGAAGCTGGAAAACAGGACGATCATGCAAACTCTAGGAAACTGTTGAAGACAAGAGGGAAAAACAGAATGCAAGAACAAAACCAAGAACAGAACAACTTAACAGTAATAGGAAAGTTATAAATTGTACTCCTTTCCTTTGAAACTAATGACAATCAAGCATAGGAAAAAGAGAGAAGAAAAGAAAAAGAAAGAAGAAATCTGAATTAGGGCAGGAACAGGAACAAAAAGGGAGATGAAGAATAATGTGGGGGAGCAAGAGGTTGAGTGAGTAAAAGAAGTAAGAAATAAGGAAGAATTTGCAGAATGGGAAAAAATAAAATTTTAAAAATAAAAAATAAAATAAGAGGAACAAAGAAAAAATATTTGAAGAGCCTCTTTCAGGGTATATTTCTGCTGTCACAATGTGGGCAGCAATGTGCAGAGCTAAGTCAATTAGTCTTAGGTAGCCAATGGCAGACCTGAGATTCAGGATGAATTCTGGCTGCAAGGCCCAAGTTGAAGTCCCTGACCTGCGGGGTTGAATTCTGCAAGGTTCTACTGCAGGTTCCAGCTGCCCTTCCCCTGAAGATAGTCCAAGTTCTGATAGAAGGTGGTGATCCTTTCAACTTACCAACTACAGAGGTCTGATGTGCCTTTATTGCAGTTGTTCACTTCCATTCTATCTTCTGAAGCTCAGTAAAATGGCCTTCATGACCACCTATGATTCTGCAGTGTGGATCCAGGTACTGGCACAACCAGGAGGCCCGAGAGCACAGGGGTATGGGGTGGGGGAGGAGTACCTGTATTGGCTGGGCAGTCCTCACCGGTCTGCTCCAATGAAGGCCTGGGGTGCTGGAGGTGGGGGAGCAGTGAGCTCCCTGTATGGTTGTCTGGTCCTCACTGGTCTGCTCCAATCCCTTTTTTTGTCTTTGCAAAACTTTAGAAATATTTTAGAAGAATAATTGCAAGAATATTACAAGAGTAGTTGTTATGTGCCTGTCAGTGCTAGTTGTAATGTAGAACTTTTGTGTGTGTGTGTGAAAAAATAAATTATAGCAAAACTTCCCACACCCTGGTACATATCATATGCTGGATCTTGGACTAAATAATCGATACATGTGTGTCCCATATTGACCCCTTGCCACATGTACTATGCTTACTGTGTAAGAGAGGCTCGGGTTAACAAGTTTTCTCATCCTTCTTCACCCAGTTAATAATGATTTGAGGTGAGTTTCATTCAGGTCTGTATGATTCCAATTAAACTTCCATTAAACACTGCCTTGCAGCAATGACCTTCTTCATTGGCACCGACCACCTGCATGTTGTATTTATCCCAAAATGAAAATGCTGTTAGTGACACTGAACCAAAAAATTTAAAATTTAACTTCTTATATAAATTGTTAAATAATGCTTCACAGGAATTAAATGAAACAATACAAAAACATACACAGATTTTTAAAAAAAAATCTTCTTACCCAATCTACTGTTTACCTAGTGTCTCCATCTATCAAAGGTGTAAGCTCTGTTAGCTTATTTCTCTAGTTAGAGTTTCTTTATACATACCTAAATAAGAAAGCACTGACATTTGTTAACCCACTTTGTATTAAAATGCTGACACAATACTCTGTTCTGCATCTTATGATATTGATATATATGCACATATAGACATCATGTAGACATTATATTTATATAAAACAGTGGCACCTCAGTTTATGAACTTAATTCTTTCCACAATTCTGGTCCCAACCCGAGTTGGACAAAAACCAAATCAAATTCAGTGGTTAGGTTCAATGTTGACCTTATGGGGAAATTTGTTTCTGTTTTCAACCAGTTTGGTTTGCAGCTAGACTTGTCGAGAGAATTGAGTTCGTGAACTGAGGCACAGTGGTATATATATGATAGTTTAACTGCACTGGGGTTTATTTAATCCCTTTCTAGTTAATAAGCATTAAATGTGGTTTCTGAAATACTATTACCAAAAATGATGTAATGAACCATTTTTGACTCATTTTACTACAATGAGTTCCAGTATATCTGTAGGATAATTTTCTAAAAAGTGGAGTCATATGAACAAAAACCATATGTGTTTGTAATTTAAAAAAATTTCAAATGTTCCCCCACTGGGGTTGGATCAATTTGCAATTGACCACCAGCATATGAAAATGTTTATTTCCACACAGTCTTGCCAAATGAGTGTGTCATCAAAATGCTCCTTTGACAATCAAATAGTTAATGAAGTGTATGTCATGCTATTATGCATGTTAATTTATAAGGCAATTCCCAAAACTTTCTTATCATTCTTTCTTTTTGTCACTTTCATTGTTGTTGATCTATTTGAATATATAAATTTTTAGTGAATTAGAGTCAAACTTCACATTATAATTCTTTATTTCCACAGTATATTAGATTCCTAGATCTGATGTGTATTACAAACTAGATTGCTTAAAACAACAAAAATTTACTTTCTCACAGTTCTGGAGGTCATGAGGCTGAAATTAAGATGTTGGCAAAGTCATATTCCCTCCGAGGGTCTGGGACAAAGTCCTTGTTTGCTTCTTTCCTAGTTTCTGGGTGCTCCTGGCAAAACTTAGTGTCCCGTAACTTAAGGCCAAGTCACCCCAAACTCTGCCTCCATCAGAGCCCACTTCCACTTGTGTCTATACTTGATTGTGTCTGAATATCTCTCCTCTTTCTCTTCTAAGGACACTGGTCATTGGATTTTTAGGACCCACTTTCACCCAATATGACATAATTTTAACCCTTATACCCACAAATACACTATTTCTGAATAGGAGCACATTCTGAGGCTCTGGGTGGACATGAATTGTGGGGCAGCACAGTTAATTCTATTTCATTTAGTTTATGTAAAATTGTAGAATAATTTAGAAATATTTTGTAGTTGCATCATTCATAAAATATTTGTGTTCAAGGAAAAAATGAAAACAAAGTCTTTGTGAATAGGGAAGAGTGGAGGAGGTGAGGGAGGGTAGGGGAATGTGGAAAAAATAAGAACCAAGATAAGTCATGTAAAGATCCCAATGATAAATATAACTGCATTGTATACCTAAAAAGTACCAATAAACTTAATGAAAAAAATGTATCTTCAACAGTTGTGAACTAATTGTTAATAAAGTTATTTTTGAGACATATAATGTTTTTTAGAGCTACTGATGATTTTGATAAACTTTTATGATAAGTTGTTCTATATTCGTTATTATCAATCATCACTTTTAGTACTAGACATGTATATTAATTCAGTTAAATCTCATGCCAAATCTAGGAGGTATTCCAATTTTGCTAGTAGAATCACAGCTAACATTTTACCCCCAAGCATTCTGACTCTACAGACAGCCCTTTCAGCCAGGTCCATCCACTCTAACATATAACACTTTTTGTATCCCTGCTTAATACTGTCCCTGGAAATCTATCCTAAATCAACAAATACGTCTTCCTTTGATTTGTCCTCATGAACTCCTGAAAGCAGTATTTTATTCCATTACTTTTAAACATAATATCCATAAGCTTTTTCCACAGTGACAGCCAATATTTGCAAATGTAACATCATAGTCCAAAACATAATTAGTACAGCAGTACTAGGTCAAAGTCTTGAACTCTGTTGTGACTTGTTCTTTTTTTCTCTCTCTCTCTCTCTCTCTCTCATTGAGTTTATTGGTACATTTTAGGTATGCAGTACAGTTATATTCATCATTGGGATCTTGTACCTTTACACGACAGGTCTTGGTTCTCATTTTTTCCCCTTGTCCCTGCCCTCCCTTTACCCTATACCTTGTTGTCAGGTGACCTCTGCAGGTTTTCACAATTAGCATCCATCGGGTTTATTTTAATGTGTCATGTCTTCTCCAAATGATAATTTTCTCTTCAAAGTAAAGTACTTGAGAGCAGACCCAGTAACGTGAGAGGCTTTTCAAGGATTTAGATCAGTGATGGCGAACCTTTTAGAGCTTTCAGTGATACAAACAGGCGGCTGCGGCACTCATGCCGTAAGTTCTTCACCACTTTTTTAGGTCATCTCTTAAAAAGACATAACCTACATTTTCTGTTCAAATAGATACAGATATGGAATCAGATTATAATGATCTTTCTCCAACAGAGATGGAAACCCTGGAAGGCGTGTGTCTTCAGCTTTTAGATAAGTGTGTGACACAGTGTAGCCATTCAATAAGTACTTGTGGAATAAATGAGCGTGACCGATGCACATGACTAAGTCACTAAAATTAATGAGCAATTCTGGCCGCTCATGTGCAAAATTTTATTCTGAGAGAAAGTTGCTCCCTTTCTCTGGAGCTTTTCTCATCACTAAGGTAAATTTAAAGAGTAGGAGATAATTTTTGGGGAAAAATAGCGTATTTTGCTTACTCCTGTGTTCTTTATCTTAGTAACAGAAGCAGGGAGAGCAGACAATGTAGGTAATGAAATGAAAATCATTGTAACTGTTAACTGAAATGAGGTAAAAGGACCATAGGGAATCAGCACTGTATTCCAACAGTAGTTAGGTAGAAGTGCAGCTGTGATCGCAGAGGGATTAAAAAACATAAAAGCAATTACAAAGCTGGCAAGAAGGTAGTGCTGTAAGTGTTGACAGGATGTAACTATAGAAACCTCGAGATTACTCTTGTAAATTGCTATATCATCCCAAATGAGGATGAAGTCTAATTTTTAAAATTGCTTAGGATAGACCGATCATACATTAAAGTCATGATTATTGTTTATCAATGCTAACTATCATGTTTAGCACAGTAAACGTTTGAGTACAAATTTTTAAAAGCCTCTTAAGAATTGGAAAGTTCCCAGGGAAGTCTACAACCAAGAAACACTAGATCTAAAGCAACTTCTAAATCACCCTTTTGCATATTAATGAAATGATATATCTTTGTGTATGTTTTACATAGGGTTTCAAAGAACCCAGGAAATACATCGCTGCTCAAGGTAATTTACTTGGGATTAATATTATTTTTGAAAATTATTTACAGCATTTTAAAGAAATGTTTCTTAACTTATAATTTTTCCCTCTTAGGACCCAGGGATGAAACTGTTGATGATTTCTGGAGGATGATCTGGGAACAGAAAGCCACAGTTATTGTCATGGTCACCAGGTGTGAGGAAGGAAACAGGGTAAGACAAGAGAAGGTCCATGGGATGGAGGTAGGGGTCAGGGAAAGGGAGTGATGACTTGGATTTCTAAAAGTCACAGCTGTGTGCTTGATGACTAAAATATTTCTCTATTTTAATTAGTGTTAACACTTTATTTAAATTTTTATATAGGTAGAAAAAACATGTCCATATATAAATATATGCCTATATGCAGATCATTTAAATATTTGAAAATAGCTTGGCTTTTCTTCAGTGCTGTCAGAAAATCCACTTTTTCTTTTACTTTTATTAGTACATCTTTGCATTACATAATGATTGCTTTCCCTGTTGAGAACTGGCATATATATATATATATATATAACACGTTGTAATTCTTTTTTCCCCTTCCCTCTAACCACCCTTTCATTTTTCCAGTGTCACATTCATTTATTTATCTTATAGACCTTATAAAATTATCATATAAACAAATTGAAAACCTGACTAATAGGCCAGAGAACATATAAAACATGTAAGACAATTATAAATCAGGGTAAACTTTTAGACACATTGTGCTGGATTACAATACCTTTATTTCTTTTTTTTCCTATTTTGTGTCTTTTATTTCATATTTTACAAATATTCAGTTTTTTGGTATAGGAGAAACCATGTGATATTTAAACTTATGTATCTGAGTTATTTCACTTAACATTATAGTCTCAAGGTGCATCCAATTTCCTACATACTTATCCTTCTTTATGGCAAAGTAGTACTCTGTTGTGTATAAATGCCATGTTTCTCTATCTGTTCATCTGTTCATGGACATATGGCTGCTTCCAAGACTTAGTGATCAGGAATTGAACTGTTATAAACACAGGTATATGAACATCACTGTGATATGATGTCTTTAACTCTTTGGGGAAGATACCTAGAGGGAAAATAGCTAGGTCAAATGCAATTTCAATTTTTCAATTGAATTGCTTGGCTTTTACTTGGCTGCTGTTTTATTCCAGTATTATTTTAGTTCCGTACAGTGGAATGTGCTAACTTCACAAGTACTTGCAAATACTTCAAACCAAACTAACCATGGACAGACAGGTGGTAACGCATAGAAGGTGATTTGAGCAAGAGTAAAAGCTCTCAATCTCCCAGGCAGAAGTGACTAAGAGCAGTCGCTCCCTTGCTGGCCACAGAGCGTGTTCTGTTTTACTATTCTGAGGAGCCTGGGAGGATCATCCTTTTGGCAAGCCCTGTGAAGGGAATCCTTCAGGACGTATGAGTGTACATTTCAGACATCCCAACTTTTGGTGTGACTGTGAGTTCCTAATGAAGAATGTGTGGATGTTTTGAAAATTTCAGATGAATAAAAGTTTGTTTTTTTCCAAATGGGTAATGAAACTGTTGAAATGATAAATTAGAATCCTTAGTGGCTTTTTTAAATGTCCTAGAATAAATGTGCAGAATACTGGCCCTCAATGGAAGAAGGCACTCGGACTTTCGGAGATGTCACTGTAAAGATCAGTGAGCACAAAAGATGCCCTGATTATATCATCCAGAAAATGAACATTACACACGTGAGTCTCTTTGGTTATGTCACTTTTGGTTTTGTATTTTAAAAAAATATCAATGTAGTTGTGGAATATTAAGTGTGAGAAATTGAAATCCAAATGGGGCAGTAATTCTCAGTGATCTTTAGGAGGAAGATCTCCACCAGGGCAAGGACCTGTGAGGGTCACACTGCCCGAGGCATGTTCGCCCATCACATCAAAAACATGCTCAACTTTGCAGCCCTAAAAAAGAGGGATCCATTAAATAAACGTGTCGAACAAATGGTTAAATTGTTAAATGAATAAACAAATAGTCTGGGGCTACTGATCTTGATCAATTCAGATATTTCCTATTGAAAAATTACAAACCACATTTTTTCTTTTGAAAAAAATTCTTTTTAAAGTTACCAATTCTGCCATGTGAGGCATACGGAGTACAGCGTTAACCACGTAATTAATCTAACTTTCTGCTTGCAAGAAATAGCCCTGTTTACCAAGCGGAATAATTTTAAGCAACGGTGATAGTGACCTTTAGTTGTTTTTTGTTTTTGTTTTTGTTTTTGTTTTTGTTTTTCACAAATACACTCATAGCCCCACGGATCACTCTTAGCCCCCCACCCTTTTGAAGTATGTTTGTTTTTGTCTTTGTGGATTTTTGTTGTTATTGTTGTTGTTCTGCAGCATGAGAGTTGCTAGGAATTTCTGCTCTCTTTACCTTATGTTACTCTATTAAGTTAGCGCTTGTCGGGTAGTGCAACAGCCTTGCATGATCCCCCAGCTAGGTACCCATGGGAAAGGAAACTGCGTCATGGCCGGAATGAATCACAGCGCGCACCAGGGAAGACTCTTTGGAGCCGTTTACATTTGCATGAGGAATTTTTGTACTGGTTCTGCCTTACACTTATTTATATTATGCAGTTTTCTATGAAAAAAAAGTCTTCGCAAATTCAATATTATCTCTTGTTTAGAAAAAAGAAAAAGGAACGAGAAGAGAGGTGACTCACATCCAGTTCACAAGCTGGCCGGACCACGGGGTGCCCGAAGACCCTCACCTGCTGCTCAGACTGAGAAGGAGGGTGAACGCTTTCAGCAACTTCTTCAGCGGCCCCATCGTAGTGCACTGCAGGTAAAGAGGTCGCAGCGTCACTCGGACTAAAGCAGAACAGAGAGTTAAGTGTCACGTGCTTTCACTTCCTGGAGAAACCCATGGTGTAAGTAAAGTAGAGAGTGAAATAGAGGAGCAATGGCAGGAACCCGGGAGAGGAACTTTCTGTAGTGGAAGAAAGAGAAGAAGAGCAGGGAGAGGAAAGGAGGTAGACCAGGATCGAGGCATGATGTCTTGCGTACATGTGTGTGTCATACATGTACACCAGCTCTTCCAAAGAATGTAAGTATTATGTACTGTCCACATACACCTTTGAAATTAATAAAAAAATCATCCTGGGACCGCGGGCACACACTTGTGGGTCTATCAAATGCTTACAGCTAGCTGGGCACAGCCGTAACTCCAGGCATCAGGGAGGCTGAGGCAGGACGGAGGATCACAAGCTCCAAGCCAGTTTGGGCAACTTAGCAGCTCAGTGAGATTCTACGTCAAAAAGTAAAAATTGAGAAAATGGCCCAGGGATGTGGCTCCGTGTAAAGTGTCTGACTTCAGTCCTCAGTGCAGAGCAGAAGCGAGGGGTGGCAGAATCAAGTTTATAAGTTGAGCTGCTGGGAACCCTCTCCCCTCTGGCAATTTCAATTTTGGGAAGTAATTCGCCAGTAGAAAAGTATTCTTTTTGAAACAACTTTTACTCTAAGTTGACACTTTCTCACTGTACGAATTCACGGGGTGAGGAGTCATGCTAAGAGAAATTTGCCTCCTTAGCCCTGCTTCTCCCTCGAGCGCTTCCCCACTCGCTTTGGGCCCCGCTCACGCCCCGCCTGTCTGTCTCACCAGCGCGGGTGTTGGGCGCACGGGAACCTACATTGGGATCGATGCCATGCTCGAAGGCCTGGAAGCGGAGGGCAAGGTGGACGTCTACGGTTACGTCGTCAAGCTCCGGCGACAGAGGTGCCTTATGGTGCAAGTAGAGGTACTTCCCACCCTCTGAAGATTACGCTCGCTTTGGGCCGGGGACCGAGGTCTGCCTGGGACAGTAGTAGTGATTTAAAAGAAATCTAAATGCTTCATGACTTCAAGCCATAATTTCAGTTCGGTTTCTTGACAAAACGTGATAATACCAGTCACAGGGAGCAACACACATCAGCGTCTGAAAGTGTTATGGAAGAGAGATGACCATAAAATATATTTTAAAAAATGAAATAGCATTTACAAACTCGAGACTGGGGAAACTAATAACGTTGAAAACAGGTTGGGCGGCATTGCCTAAAATTAAAACTGAGGATACACAATAAGGTAGCAGTCAGGTGACTCGTTTGTAGGACTAAATTTCTGAGACTCAAATCCCGTGTTTCAAATCTTAATTCTGTGTATCTCGGGACAGGCTTGTAGTCTTTCTGTGCCCCCATTGGGTCATCCACAAGAGAGTGAGAAAGTAGGGCTGACTTACTGGGTTTCTAACAAAAAAGGAAATGCAGGCGGGGCACTTGCCAGGTTTGTGACGTAGGCAATGGATCGGGTAATGGTAAGTGACAGTTACCATGGGAAATGTCTGTACGTGACCCGGCAAGGGGACACATGTGTATGTACTCAGGTGAAGTACTTGTAAATGTGCATAACTGGAAACAGGTGCAAGAGTGTTTCTTGCAGGCTGCATTGTTAGCGCAGCAAAGAATTGGGAACACTTTAAATATACAGCAATAGGGGAAGGGAAGAGCAGAATGCAGACCTGTGGGCTGTGCGTGATGAAGGCCATGCTGCTGTGGAAAGGAATGGTCTCGTTCTGCATCTATGTGGCCTGCTGCTCAGCCCCAGACAGTGAATACATAAAGTAAGAATATGATTTGTTGATCTCTACAAAAACACAAAGTAAAGTATAATGCTTGTGGATAAACAGATGTTAGTATAGAAATATCAAAAGAGATCGTTAAGTGGAAATAAATGAACCTTTTTGAGAAAAATGTAAAATAGAAGGATACAGCCAAACTCAGGGAACTAGAGGTCATCATATGACCCAAGTCTCTTTTTTAGAGAGGGTACCTGGGGGAGATTGAACTCAGGTCCTTGTGCTTGCAAGGCAGGTAGCAGAACCATGGAGCTAAATCCCCAGCCCCGAGGCTCTTCAGAAATAGGTCATTTCCTTAAAACTGCTGGATTCAAAGAGGGTACAGTAAAGAGTTAGACGTTGGTAAATTTGGATTTGGCATGTAAGATCTTCCTAAATAATTTTCTCTGTTTTAAAAAGTTCTGGAAAACTTTCAAAATATATCCTATGGAACTTGCTTTTTTGTCAACTTGCTTTTTTTCTGATGTACTGTGAATTTTATTATAGTCTTTTATATATAAATTTTGCTTTCCAATTCAGTAACAGTCGCTGAGGAAAGTAACAATGTTTCTTTTAAAAATGTTTAGGCATAAGATAGAAAGTATTTAATATATAATGGATTGTCTGTTTGGAAAGCTATTTCTTTTCCTAGGGAAATAAAAGATGGAAATGGGATTTGGGTATATTCTAGAAAACTGTGAGAGCCAACTTCCAGAATATTTACATGTTACAGATATCAATCCTTTTTTTTTTTTGCCAGAAATTGTCCCAGAATGGGGGAATACACATTTTATTTAAATAGAACATATGGAACTCTATGTTACCAGTTAATTATCTATATTTTCTTGCTGTCTTAGGCACAGTATATCCTGATCCATCAGGCTTTAGTGGAATACAACCAGTTTGGAGAAACAGAAGTGAGTTTGGCTGACTTACATTCACATTCATATCTGCAAAACATGAAGAAAAGAGACCCACCCAGCGAGCCATCTCCACTGGAGGCTGAATTCCAGGTAATGACATGGTAACAACAAACAGTGACTACCATGACTTTCATGTGTGCTGTTTTCCAGGTGCTTGCTAGGCATTTGACATAGTTCTTCCACCTGGTCCTTAGCAGAGCCATGGGAGCTCAGATGAGGAATCCAAGACACAGAGAGTTTAAGAAAAATGTCTGAACCTGCACAACTATTATGCAGGAGACTGGCTTAAACCCAGAAGTCGGATTCTACTGCTAACCCTTTTAACCCTTCCTCATTAAGCTGGCATAAAATAAACTGTCAGAATCATAGTATATAGCCACGAAATTGGTCTGCCATAGGCAGTGTCTCATCTCACCTTTAAAAACTGCATCTGGTTCAAGTTTGTAAAGGAAATAATTAGAGGAGTTTATGACTGCTTAGGAAGGTGAGCGGGCTGGAGCTGGCAGACAGAAAGTAAAGGATAATAACGTGTGTCCAGCCCATTTACGGGGCAGTTATTCTGACTGTGAACGGAAGATGTCGAAGATGTCATTCACCATGATTTCAGAGCGCTGGCATGGCTGTCCTCAGATTGTGTAGTTGTCGAGTTTTATAATTTTTCTCTTCCACCTGTGATTGCCAGCCTGCTGAGTCTTTCTATAAACCACAAAACAGGTCAATTCAGAGAGTTTCACGAGGCCAGGAATGCACTTTTAGATGGGGAACCATGGAATGTGCAGATCAAAGTGGGGCTGAAGTGGGGAGTGGAAGGGGTGGACAATAGTCACCAAGCAACTCAGTCTCCCAGAAGACCTGTGCTTAGGGTTAGAAGAACTGGCAGACTTGGGGCAGCCGTTAGCAGAAGAGTGTTTCACTGTTGTTTTCTGTTTCTCTTTTTTCTTTTTCATTTTGGCCTTTTAGCTGCTAACTTTACTAAAATCAGGATATAGACCCTACAAAGCCACATTTGCACATACACTATTCAACAGTGTTTAAGTGTTTAGTGTATTTAAGGTAACACTCACGTGGATACTCACTGAAAGAGAAATTTCGCTGACCGTGTTCTTGTTCATTCAATTGCACAGCCATAAATGACATTCAAAACAAGTGTTATATTTAGTATGAAATAAGGCTGCATATTAAAGCTGCCATAATCCTCACGTGTGTGTGTGTGTGTGTGTGTGTGTGTGTGTGTGTGTGTAAAATCCTACTGTGTACATAAGGAGCTTTCGGGTGTTTAGATCGTTCGTGGTACTGAACATTGTTGTTAAATTTTATTCATTTGACAAATATTTATTCAGGAACTTGTGGGAAGTGAAAAACTACAGGTAGGGAGAACACACAGTTAAACTTAGACCTACATGTTACAAAAAGTTATCAAAAGTTCCAGGAAAGGGAAAAAAAATGATCCCAACAGAAAAAACACGAGTCCAGAGAGAAATCCACAGTACCACTTGACAGTACAACCTAAGATCTCCCACTATGCTCAGCCTCCTCAAAGTCCATGGGGGCTTCAGACACCACCACCTTGGGGGCCAAGACTTTGCATGTGAACCCTTGGGGGGCACTGATCTAAACCATAGTCGAATAGAGGCATTAAAAGACACGATGGCCTCTTTAAGAATGGAGGAATTTGGTTTGGCTAAAGTGTGGAAAGACCTCGTAAGGGAGAAGGCTGAGGAGACAGACAAGGGCCTATCCCCAAAGACCCTTGCCCTGCATTAGGGAGGTTTGCTGTGTTCTAATGATGCCAGTAAGCCACTGAGGAGCCCAAGGCGGACATCTTCTCTTTTGTATTTTAGAAAGTTTAGAGTTAGTGAGATTGAATGGAGTCCAGTTATGAAACTGTTGATATTTTTTAAGTGGAGAATGAAGATGGACTGGATTAAGTAGGAAGAAAGAAATTCAAAAGATCTGTGATGTCCACCAGTAGAAATGATAGATTTTGCTGACTGATTTAACTGCTGTAAACAAGAATGACAGCAGCCTGGCAATACTAGCATTTGAAGTATCAAGTCCTCCATGAATTTTGTGTCTGCCAAGCTTCCTCCTGATAATTTAAAATTATTTGCCATTGGTTTTTCAATATGGGTTGTAATTAGTATAGTGCTTTCACTATACCACACTATAATAATTGGTATAGTGCTTTCAGGTTATACAAGAATAAGCCATCCTACTTTGCTTTGAAGCAGCTATGAAGAGCATTTTTTTTTTTTAGAAAAATGTATGTTTTTAATTTCAACTCATCCTGTTAAATATGGTAAATGCCTGCAAAGATTGAGAGGAAAAAAAAATCCACATTCAAACTTAAAACTGTGACTAGAAGAGTATACAAATGTCACAAAAATTAAAGAAATTTTTTTATAGGGAACATTCATACCACAGTAATAAATTAAGCTAATTCATATTTAGATTTTAAAAGAGTTTTTTATTCTATTTTTCCTCAGAGACTTCCTTCATATAGAAGCTGGAGAACACAGCATATTGGACATCAAGAGGAAAATAAAAAGAAAAACAGAAATTCAAATGTTATTCCATGTACGTTATCATTTAAATTGTTTTTATATCAGGAAAAATTAAGTTCTTTTTTGCATTTGTTTAACGTGAGACACAAACGAAGGATCTTAAAGCAAATTTTTAATATTTGGTTGACAATAGAAAAGTCAGTAAGCTACTTCAATTTTAGTTATAACCAATTATTAGAGTCCTAAGATTTTCAATTAACTGAGGATAAACTATATTCAGTATTTTCTTTCTACCAATCATTTCAGATAAGAGTTATAAAAATGACAAAATTTTTGAGGCCAAGAGATAGAAGACCAAGTGTATTTTTCTACTTTTCTTTCCTCTTCAGTATGTTTCAGGGTAATTGCCAAATAGTAAATGTTGTATCCATTTACTATCTTAATGCTTTTTTTAATCCCTTATATCTTGGAGGCTGGAAATACATGGAAAATACTCTATAAACTGTTAAGCATCAAATTTGATAGATAAAACTATGCACAATTTTCATGACAAATTCTACATTTTAACAGTGTTCATAGGATCATATCAGGTACTATGGTAATTTTTTCAGCTGAACTAAAATTAGCATGGATAAAATATAAGGCAAGCTAATAAACTAGACAACCAAATAATTCAAATCAGTGCATGGCTGACCTAGTTAATTTAATTTTATAGAAGTCATTATGAATATAGTTAAAATACAGAATTGATAGTGATGCAGTTAAACAGATCATTTGACCAGGTTATTATAAATTTAAGATATTAAAAAACAAGGAGGAACTTTAGACTAAATAATTTTTTGGACTATATAATAACCTGAAATTCCTGCATAATTGTTAATTTAACATTAATGGAATATAAATGAGAAACAAAAGCGTAAACTATGACATTTTTAACTCACATCAGGCAGAATGATGATATTCCACAGAAATGTAAAGTATTTGCACCAAAGATTAACCAATCATTTGGAACATTATGATGCACACTTTAAAAATATTTGATATTTTTTCCTGTAACCCCTTTGGGACCTGATTTTATTTAAATGTCTTAAAGTAATTTGTTAATCAAAGATCTCACTGCATTTGGATTAATACGTTTAATTCTGAATTACTTTTTAATTCATGTCAATCATGTAGAAATTTGATTGTCTTTATTTCTAATTATTTTTGGTGTGCTGAGAATTAAGCCACATACATATGCCAGGCATGTACTACATCCCAGCCCTTATTTTTTTTTTTTATTGAGTTTATTGGTACATTTAGGGATACAGTACAGTTACATTCATTGTTGGGATCATGTACCTTTACATGGCAAGTCTTGATTCTCATTTTTTTTTCCCCTTACTTTTAAGGGAAGACTCACTTCTCGTTTATTTCTGATAGATGACTTTAACAGAGTGGCACTTAAACATGAGCTGGAAATGAGCAAAGAGAGCGAGCATGATTCGGATGAGTCATCCGATGATGACAGTGACTCCGAGGAAACGAGCAAATACATCAACGCATCTTTTGTCATGGTAGGTATTTATGCTTCCCCAACCCAGGATACAACTCTTTTATAATCGTGTGTATGCTATTAGGGCCATTTATTAAATAATTTTATAAATGTCTGGTGAGCTTAGTCCTAAGTATATATATTGGTCAATGTTTAATACTATATTTAAACTTGTCAATTTTAAACTATTAAAACCCAATTCATTAATTCAGATGTTATTGGTTATGATGTTGGCCACTCCTCCATTTCTGGGATGAAACACCAGACAGACGCACCCTAAGGAGGAGAGGTTTATTTTGGCTCATGGTTTCAGAGGGTTCGGTCCCTAATTGGCTGGTTCCAAGGCAGAAATGACACGGGGGAAGAGCGTGGCAGAGGAAGCTGCTCAAACTCCTGTCAGCCAGGGAGCAAGGAGAGCAGGAAAGGCTGGAATGACCGACAGGTACCCTTTAAAGGGCTGCGCGTCCTCTACCTGGGCCCTACCTCCTAAAAACACATTCAAATATGAATTCATCAGTGAGCCAATCTACTGATGAGCTTTTGCCCCGGATGTAGTCACCGTCCACAGCCCAGCAGCGAGCACATGAAAGTTCTGAGACATTTTGGATCCAAACCATAATTGTTATATTTTGTGATAAATAGTACAATAATCATATTAATTTTAAGAATAAAATTTGTCCAAACATGAATACATAAAAATACTTGTTTTGACTCCAAAAAAATTCAAATTTATATATTGACTAAAAATGTAGGTATGATTAAAAAGTTCAAATTTATGTATTTGTATAGTTAAAAACATTTCACTCAGTTCAACTGTTACTAGGTAAACAGTTGTCACATACCTTTTAAAAAATAAGCTGAGAATTCCAAGAATTCCATGATAATACTGGATGTCTTAATCTTGATTCTATGTTATTAAGAATTATTATTTGAATAAATATATTCAGATATTTCTTTTTTTCTTGGCCATAAGAATCTTAATATTTTTCTGCCACATCATTGAAGTCAAACTGAGTGATTATTTTTCCCAATGGTTATTTCAAGAATGTACTCTCCTCAGAGCAGTGGTAACAAAATCTCACTTCTATTTTTTTTTAAAGAGTTACTGGAAACCGGAAATGATGATTGCTGCTCAGGGACCACTGGAAGAGACCATTGTTGACTTCTGGCAGATGATATTCCAAAGAAAAGTCAAGGTCATTGTTATGTTGACAGAGCTGAAGCATGGAGACCAGGTTCGCACTTTTGAGGGTCTGTTTTTAAAAAGTCTTTCTGTTATAAAATATCCTTCTCCATTCTTGGGTTACTTCCTTGATTGTTCTGTCTACATCATTTTAATCATTCTGTCACACAAGTCTCTTTGTTTAGCCTTACTGCTTTCTAAGCACTTGTTGACCTCAACTAGCTTATGTGTGGATTCTGACAATCTCTCGAGATGGTCTCCTCTCCAGTCTCACACACTGCTGTTAGATTATCCAAGACAGAACACTTCCAGTGTTAACCACTTATAGCAAACTGTATTTTCTATTTTTCTCAAGATAAGCCAAATTCTTTATCTGACACTTTAAGAGATTAAAAAAATCAAATCTTGTATATCTGTCCAGTTTCCTCCCATTTTTATGTTTTCTATATTGTCTGTACCAGTAGGTATATAGACTAAGTCTTAAAACATGATTTGTCTTCTTAGCATTGAGTCTTAACTTAATAACATTCCATATACCTAAATGTATCCTCTCTTCCCCTCTTTTTGTTACCTCATTGAGTTTATTGGTACATTTTAGGTGTGCAGTACAGTTACATTCATCATTGGGATCTTGTACCTCTACATGACAGGTCTTGGTTCTCATTTTTTCCCCTTCACCCCTCCTCCCTCCCCCTTTACAAACACTTCGTTTCCATTTTTGCATTTTCTCATTTTTTTTTGGTTCCCTTATTACCTTTCCCCTACCCTTCCCACTTTCCCTACACCTTTAGCCCTTTTCTTCCTATTTCACATTGTCAATTATCTCTTTAGGATCTTATGTACTATCATAGTTTTTCACACCAGAGAAACTATTTGGTATTTACACATGTGAATTATTTATTTCACTTAGGAGTATATCATCAATATGCTCTCTTCCCCTCCTTATTGTATTTGTCTAGCAAAACAAAAACCCTGAAAAAGTGAACAATATTTTCCTTCTTAATTCACATGTAATTTTTATTGCCATAAAATTCTAAAATTGAAGGTGAATTTAAGATATAATTTTACTTTTTTACTTAATGCCTATATGTTATATAGTATATATAACACACATAATATAGAATTACAATATATAAAATATATTATATGAATTATATATAAATAATTATCTTTCCCACTCATTAAAATTTCCCTAGTGGTATATCACCTAACACTTAGTTTTTATTTTTACTTAGTTTTTCTTAGCAACTGCCACATTGTCTGACACATCCTATCATATACTAAATCTTGTTCAAGGAAAATGCTCATTAGATTTTTATGGGCAGCTTTCATTTTTAAATACAATTATTAATTTATATTTACTAGAAAGGGAAGGAAATAAAAAGAGAGAGAGGTATAAACAGAGTGACAAAGAGAGTTTCCATGAATGTTTTGTACAGCAAACAGAAGAGCTTTGTACAAGTTGTTTGACCATGTTTTCTGTTGTCTAGGAAATCTGTGCTCAGTACTGGGGAGAAGGAAAGCAAACATATGGAGATTTAGAAGTTGATATCAAAGACACAAATATATCTTCAGTGTACACAGTCCGTGAATTTGAACTGAGACATTCCAAGGTAAAAAAAAAATTCATGCATGCACATACAATTTTGAGAATATTTATTTTGGTGTAATTAATCTTCTAATGAAACCAACATAAAATATTTTATGTAAGCAAAGCCACCATCTATATAATGGAACATGAAAGCTAAAATATTTGAATGAGAGGAATTGTGAAAAGTACTTGCCTATATATTTATCAGACTATAAACTTGATTGAAATTCACTTGAGCTCATAATGTTCCATTCACTTGTGATTGTAGAGGAAAGACACTCGAACTGTGTACCAGTACCAATATACTAATTGGAGTGTGGACCAGCTGCCTGCACAGCCCAAAGAACTGGTCTCAATGATTCAAGCCCTGAAACAGAAACTTCCCAAGAAGACTTTCACTGAAGGGAATAAGTACCACAAGAGTGTGCCTATCCTAGTTCACTGCAGGTGGGTGGTATTTATAGGACATGTTTTAAAATCATAATGATTGACTTCTTGCTTGGCACTTTGCCTTAAATTCTGTTTATCCTGCTGGCTTAGTTACTTTTCTCGTTGCTAGGACAAAATATCCAACACTCACATGTTAAAAGAGGAAAGACTTATTTCAATACACAGTCTGTAGAGGTTTCAGCCAGTTCCAACACAGGATGGCATGGCAGAGGGCCTCACAGGGAGAAACAGTTGAAGGCATGGAAGATGGAAGGCAGCAAGCAGCAAACACAGCAGCAAGTCTCCCTTTCCCTTTGATCCCTTCCAGACTACAAGCCTTTGGGGTAGTGCCGCCCACACCTAGGGCGGGCCTTCCCAATGCCCACACCCACAACTATAATAAACCAATTAGTGGACTAATCCAGTACCACCCACCCTTAATCCCGGTATCACACCCTTTAATCCACACTCCTACACCCTGAATTCAGCCACCTCTAGAAAGTCCCACCCATGACTGCATGAGGGTTTGGTGGGGGGACATCCAGGTATGAGCCACAACATCTGGTATATAAAATACATGACTACATGAAAAATCCTCATAAAGTGACTCTCGCATGTGCTAACACAGCATGCTGATGATAGAAGTATGACAGAAACAAGTACATTTAGTTCAGGAGGTGATGCTATGAGTGCTTTAGTACCAAATGTCATGTCGACTTTGATGTCTCTGTACATGATACTGAACCTAGAATATCACAAGTGCTAAATGGACAGAGGAGCGAATGAAGGGACGCATGAACAGACAGGTGGATGGAGTACATCTAATATATGTTTATGCATGCTGCCCCATTCTCCTTGGTGTTACTGAATCTGGAAGACGTAACGCTTCACCTTCGATAAACATATCTTAAATTAAATGTTAACTGAAATCTCAATGCTGAGAAACTTTGATTTTTAAACTCATTATTTGAGTTTCTGAACTTCAAAAGCAAAGATTTTAGTAGTACAAATAATATTTGAATTTTATTCGTTTCTGTCATGCAAGTTTTTTTAATTTCAGCTGTATTACATATCCACATATTTACCTAAGTAAGAGATATTGAAGGAGGAACACAGAATATTAAAGTTTTATATGAAAAAGAGTATTAAATCAGAAGGAAAAAAACTGTAGAGTGAGAAATGTAAATCTAGTGAAATGCTTTTAGAATTTTTGTACAAGCCTCAGCACTGCTATTAGAAAAAAGTCCTTAAAGAAATACTGCTTTTCAATGTTTATTTGAATTGTTCAAAGTGAAATTTATGTGGGAAGAAATACAGAAGGGAATTGTAGGCTCTTCTGTGTTCCTTAGGATATGGTTGAATAGCTACTAAATGTTCTTTAGTTGTGTACAGTGTGCTGTGACCTGCAGATTGGGTACGGTTAACCTGAATCAGTATCATATGTTTTATACCTTTCATAGTTCAATAAATTACATTGGTATATGTTTTTGATACATGATAATTACAGTTGTTTTGGTGATATTCATATTCATATATCTCAACATTTTTCACCTCCAATAAAAATATTTTTTAGACTACAAGATTATTAGAGTCCTAAATTGAAAAGCGTTGCCACCAAAACTGGATGTACCAGAAAATATAGAGCAAAATAGAGGCTAGCAATGAGGAAGTGGGAAGAACTTTACAGATGGGAAGGGAGCAAGAGATGGAAGGGGGAAGGGAAAAGAGATTGAATGAAGAGAAAAGAATTGGAGCCAAAAAAATGGAAATAGAGTTTTTACAAATGGGGAGGAGAGGAAGAGTTGGAGAAAAGGAGGGAAAGGGACTAAAAAAAGAATTAAGATGTGCTATGTACCTGTGTAAATCCTCATCATGAATGTAATCTTTATGTACTGCAGACAAATACTAATACAAAAGAAATTAGAATAAGATAATTGCCATAAACACACACACACACACACACACACACACACACAAAATCTGTGTTTAAATTTTCATGCTATCCCTTTCCCTATAAAAAGTAGAATTATTTCTCCTTTCATATTTTCTTCCCTTTGCAGAGATGGATCTCAGCAAACAGGAGTTTTCTGTGCTTTGCTGAATCTCATGGAAAGTGCAGAAACAGAGGGAGTAGTAGATGTTTTTCAAGTAGTGAAATCTCTACGCAAAGCTAGGCCAGGCATGGTTTCCACATATGTAAGTATTCCTCACTCTTTCCTTTTAAATGTTTTGCCATTGTTTTAACAGTTTTCCCCTCTTTTCTGCATCCTTTCCCCTTCCTTTTCCTTTCATGCCTTCTCTTGTGTTGATCATCTCGGATGAGACCTTCAAACCTGCTCGCTGGGGATTTGTAGGCCGCCAGGAGGCTGGGAGCGGACTGCCACTTAGGACAGCAATAGAGATGAATCGGCCACATCTCTCTGATGAAGCAGGCTAGGTCAGCCTTCTTGTAAGGCGGCAGAGTGCCATGTAGGTGGACAGACATATGGGCGACCTCTTGAGGCCCAGGCTCAAAACTGATAGAACGTGTCTTCCCTTGTATTTTACCAAACAAGTCACAAGGCCAGCTCCTCTCCAAGAGGTGAAGAAACAGACTCCCCTCTCTTGAGAGGGGCTGCAGGCACATTGCAAAACCCTGTGTACACAAGGAGAATAATTACTGGCATTTTTGTGTCAACCGTGTATCCTCTCTCTGTGGCCGTAACCATAGATGCTTATGTGGAAACCGGCAATTATTCACAATAGAAATTTAATTACTCTCTAAAAGTATAAAGCCTTGAGTCCTGTGTGATGTTGAGTTTACATATATTGGTTTGAAAAGTGCATCAAGCACTTTCTTCTATGTGCTGTTGTTGTTAAGAGAGACAGTGTATAGTGTGGAGATCGTGAACAAGGGCATTCGTTTAACCAAGGGAATCAGTGTAAGCTTCTTGAAGCAGGTGATTCCTGCTCTGATGTTGCAGTGATGTGTAGGTATCAGCCGAGAAGATAAGCACAGAATTGGTGTCACGGGCAAAGGTGCAGGGCTTGGTAGTTATGCGATGTGTGTTGAATGGGATGGGAACATATGTACGGTATTACGAGGCTCAATTTTGCAAAGCACTCTTTGCATGTTCTCCATAAGTTCTGCAGATGCAGCTCAGGGTAGAGCTTAGCATGCTCTTGGCCCTGGATTTGGTCCCTCGATGTAAGAAAACAATCCTTCATGAGAACCTGTCAGAGAACATTTTTGTTTCGGGACTCCCACAAGTGATTAGTTCTTGCTTATGTTCTTCTAACATAAAAAATAACCACATCAACTATCTTCATGTAATTCCTGGCTGCTTTTCTTTTCTAGGAGCAATATGAATTCCTCTATGACATTATTGCCAGCACCTACCCTGCCCAGAATGGACAAGTAAAGAAAAAGAGCAATCAAGAAGATAAAATTGAATTCGATAATGAAGTGGACAAAACAAAGCAGGATGCTAACTGTGTCGGTTCAACCGGTGCCCCAGATCAGGCCCAAGAAGGCGTCAAAGAGGCAGAAGGATGTAAATCTCTCAGCGGTTCAGAGAGGCCAGAACATTCTCCCAATGGCCCTGCAAGTCCAGCTTCATCTGAGAGTTCCTAGGAAAAGGGAGCGACTCCAGGTCTCATATTAGCTGTGGTTTCTGTTTTCTAGAAGGGGAAATAGTTGACTTGGGATAATGAAGTTCTCTGGTGGGACGCGTGGGCAGTGCCTGTTTGAATTCTGTGGGACAATATTTAAGATAGTTTTGGTGAAATGTTTTGTATAGTTTTCTGCTTCTCTTAGAATCTCTGTCATTCCACAAAAAACAACTTTGTAGTCTTCTTTGCATGTGTATGCTTGGTGTGAAGGTGCCTGTGATAGGAACAGGGAGTATGCTTTCAAGTGAACCTGAATATTCTTGAGAAACTCTCTTTTTTTGGTACCAGGGATCGAACTCGGGTCCTTGCACCTGCGAGACAGGCAGCGGCACCACGGAGATAAATCCCCAGCCGATACTCTTGAGAAACTTTGGCTTTTTCCATTTCTGCAAAAAAGCTCCTATTTCCTATTGTACTGTTAACTGTGATGGAAGGCTCTACTTTTTATCATCAGAAACTCAGAGTGTCTTGTGTGAGAATAACCCGCATCATTGGAGAGTGAGCTTAAGACATCTGCCTTGTCCTGCTCATACACACCAGTTGCTGTTTTACTTCCAGAGGGGAGATATAAATGTGGTATGTGTGTGCATCGATAGCTATGACAAGAAAGTTAAGTAAATTACCATTTGGAAAGCTTATACAAAACAGTGCACATGGCATTGCCAAGTTTTTGTTTTAAAACATGTATTAATGTATAGAGATATCAAGAAATGATCAATAGAATGGTGTTCACTTAAGTGTTTTAATCTGTGCCCGGTAGTGACATGATGAGGATATACTTCTTTCTTTGATAGCTTCTTTTATTTGTGCTATTCTAAAATCCTTCTAAGGGGAAGAAATGAAGAATTGCTATTAGTGTGTGAGGCGATGGATATGTTAATTTGCTTGATTGTAGTAATCATTTCTCAGTGTACGTGTATCTCAAGGCATGATGTTGTACACCTTAAATATATATGATTTTGTTTGTCAATTATATTCAATAAAAAGTGAATTAAAATAAAAAATAAGAACATGCCACTGTGTTCGTGTGAGATATTTATATAAGGAACTTAATGAAGACATTTTGCAGAGTTTAAACAGTGATATGAAAATTACCTTATTATACATGCTTATTTCCCATTATGAAAGCCCATCTTTGATTTTCACTGAAGTGCATTCACTGTGAGTTTTTCAAATGCTTAGACTACTTTTACCAGGAACTGACACTGATAACCATAATAAAATGTAATTGTTGTCCTTCCTTTTTATAACATAGTATGTTACATGTTCCTATGTGAAATACGTGTACACCGATTACAATATAATCAATAGTATCTTAGAACATTTTGACGTGTCCCAGTTTTTTCAACAAGACACGGAGTCTAATAATTGTGTAGGATTAGAGAACAAATTCAGAATAGTGGAAATTTCAAAGATGTAACAGAGACTACTCAGGTTGGTGAATTCTGCATCCGTCTGTCACTTTAGTCACATAGTATGTTTGGGTTGGTTTGCTTTTCTATATCTGATTGATTTTAAATGTCGGATCTACACAGAATCAATTGCTCTCTATGCAGCTGTTTAATTACCTTGTGCTCCTATTGTTAATTCTTCTATTATATCACATAAAATAAGCAACAGTGTACTGCAAATATTTACAATAAAAAAGGAAGGGGACTGTTAGGGCTTGTGTCTAGATGTCCACTCAAAACCTTGTGTGAATGAGATGGGGCTATTTCAGAGGTGGCTGACTCTAAAATATGAGATTCACAGTGCAGTGCTAGGCCTGAGAGCACTAAGATCAAGGGTATGAGGCTACAGACCCTAAGTAGCCTGAGTAAGTTAAAAGGGTGCTGTCTTCTGCCACTGTGAACTGTTGTCCCTCCGCCGTGCCACCCTGCCTTGGAGCCAGCCAATTATGGACTGAACCCTCTACAAACTGTGAGCTAAATAAACCCTTTCCTTTTTCATGTTGGATGTCACATATTTCGTCTCAGCAATGAGAAAAATAGAAGACAAATTTATTTACTTTGTGCTCCTACTTTTAATTCTATTATTATATCACATAAAATTAGCAACTATGTACAATAAAAAAGGTGGGGGGGAGGGCAAGAGGACGGAAAAAGGAATTAAGATGTGTTACATGCATGTACCAGCTCCTCACAAGGAGTGTAAATGCTATGTATTGACACAGGTACTAATGTGAAATAAAAGAAAATTGAAAAAATATCAATTAATCTTTATGATGTGGTGTTGTTCCCGGTTCCTCTTTAAACAGATGAAAAGAAGTGAAGTTTACAATGAAACAATAATTTCTAGTTTTTGTTAAGGTTGGTGACTAATAGTACACGAACAGTATGACTGTGTGCAGAGCTTAGGAAGAATTTGCCCCACATTTTTAAGGCATAAATGAAGGCCAAGCTTTGTCTTACCTTTAGTTACTTATTGGGCATCTGTAGGTTCATATGGACAGTCACTGTTTTTTGTTGTTGTTTGTTTGTTTTTTTAGCAAAACATGCTTTTAAGTCCCGAACTGCCTCAGAGGAAAATACAATTTTTGATGAGTAATAGTTTAAGGGCTCAGGAGTTTTGTCCTCTGTCCCTATGGTGGTGTCCGAGTCCAAACTATTTAGATTACTGTGCAAATAAGTCTTAAAAAATCGATATGGACCCAGCCAACGCACAGGTTTGCTGTAGTGTCACTTATAAATTAAAAATGTTATTGTAACTTACATTTATTAAGGCCCAGTGCATGCCAGGTAGCCGTCAATTGTTTACCTGAATTTGTTTAGCAAAACACATCCTGCCTGCCCGTGCGCACTCTTCGCTTCTCAGATGAAGGACGGAGGCTTAAACAAGCTCGGTACCTGGTTTGGTACAATACATAAGCGGGACTGCACCTGGCCTTGCCTAGCCCCTGGGGCAACTAAAACTAACCTCATAACTTTTTGTTATTTTTTCTTCTGAATATTAAATTGTTTATTTGCTTTGAACTATTTGATCTTCTGTCTTTTCTATGTTTCATGATTAAAACAAAACAGAAACTATATGGAATAAATACTCTCAAAATTCTGCACAGCATAGCCAGATTCGCTAAGTTCCCTTACAACGTTGAAGCTCTTACACAAAAATAAACACTCTGAAACATCCGTGGAGAAGGATTGTTCTCATAATACGTTGAAACAGAGAGTACCTCCTCGCTTAAACAAGTGCCAGGAATAATGGAGGCTTTACATAAATCACAAACGCCATTGTTACATTGCCCCACAATTTGGAAGTCGGAGCATATTCTTACTGTTTGCATCACATGTTGGCGTGTTCGTCAAAGGACCCAACAATCCTCGTTTAAAGAGAGTCAAATGTGAAATGAAAACCAGAGACAGGAAGAAAAGCACAGCCCGTGGCTCCATGTCAAGTGGCACTGGGAGCCTTTCTGACCCACCTGGCCCCACACTTAGAAGGGAAGAGAAAGGGGAAATGGACTTTCAGTGTCAGGGATCACGTTCCCCTCTAGGAAAAAAAAACAGTGCTTTTATCACATGTCTGTGCCCCCTTTACAATAGTAAAAGTGGAATTCTGGCAAACTTACAACTTTCCAGAAAAGTGAGACATATTGGATTCAATGATGTCCCTCAAATATAGCAGACAAATCAGATCCAAAGTACCTGGTATCCTACCAATTTTAAATTACTTTAAAATTAAATTAAAATTTACTTTAAATTTTTAAGTTCATGCAAAAAGGAAGGGATTTTCATGCCCACTTGGAAGAAGATGTGGCGTCAGGAGAACCGTCTGTCCAGCATAGGCACAAGGGATGAGCAGCGGACAGAATCAGGTCGTTCCAAGAACTTGTCCCCCGATAGATAGCACAAGCTTAATGCAGGGGTTTTCTCTCCCTGTGCTTGCGTCACTGCCTCTAAGAACGTTAATAATTACATGTTTCAATAATTTCGGCTCTAATGCTCCTTGTTAATTATGTACATTTCAGGGCTTTGTTATACATTATAAAACAGGGTCGAGGAAATTTATATTTATAAGGAATTGATGTTTAGCAAGCAAATCCTTTAATAAAGGTATTTTCATATATACATTTAACTAGCAGTTTTCATTGTATTGACATCATAAAGATGGGGATGGGAGAAAAGAATACATTGAGGATTTAAAGCTAAAAGCTTGAATGTTTTTGTCATAAGCAGAAATTTTAAAAAATTGCTAAGCCAGGCATGGTGACACATGCCTATAATCACAGCACTCTGACAAGATCAAGCAGAAAGATTGCAAATTTGAAGCCATCCTGGGCAATTTGGTGACTTATCCAGACCCTGTCCCAAAATAAAAAGGCCTGGGAGTGTAGCTCAGTATGAAGGCCCTGGGTTCAATCCCCAGTAGAGCAAATCAAACAAACAAAACAGAAATCAAACAAAAATCCTAAACTTCTTCAAGACCATGTAGGATGTATCTGCTTTTAGTTATTCTGAGTTGACTTAATATCCCAGTCTTTCTCACATTTTGAGAGAGGTCCTTTTAGACAAAAGCAAAGAGTAGTTAGTTATCTAAGGTAACACTGATTATTTTTATATCAATTTTAAATTGTGTACTTTGTAATCCTACATGATTTATTTTTTGCCTGTTTGTATTCTGATGAGGTTATCAACTCTTGAATAATCTATTTAATCTTTGTCCTAGATGCTGAATCTCGATTTTGATCCTCCTACTATCTTGAAGCATCTGGTAATCCTAATTGCTAACTCTGGATCCTTTTTGATGGAACACAAGTACAATGTAAAGACGGTAGTTGCCCTATCGCAGAAGAAGAAACCATCATCCAACAGCTAGAATCACGTGATTTATATAAGAAAAAGCCTATCAATGACATAAATGCAGTAAACCTTACTTTGGAGTTTTCAATGTGTAGATACGTTTGTGGATTTCATTTAGGATAATCTAAAGTTCCTGATTTGGAATCAGTCAGCTTTAGTTATATAAAGTGACTTTTTAAATGAAACCAGTTATTTTTGTACATAAAGCATGCTTTGGCAGTTTTCTCTTTGTTTAAAATGGCATTAAATCCTAGAAGTCAAATTTCTGTTTAATAAGAGTCAGTGGGAGTTAGGTGTGGTGGTGCACGCCTGTAATCCCAGCACTCGGGAGGCTGAGGCAGGATGATCACTGATTAATGTGTGAAATGTTCTTTAGGTAAACATATAATGCTTTGGGAATTCAGTGAAGGGAGCCTAAGCTAAATGCTTTGGGGATATATAGGGTGGGGTGTCAAAAAAAGGTGGGGTAGCCGGGTTTGGTGGCGTACAACTCTGAAGGCTGAGGCAGGAGGATCCCTGTGAGTTCAAGACCAGCCTGGGCTACATGGTGAGTTCCAGGTTAGTTTCAACTACATAGTGAGACCCTGTATAAAAAAAAAAAAAAAAAAGTCAGTGGGAAATAAACCCAATTTGTTCTTTCAAGTGGTAGCAAAGTATTTGTTCACAATTTAAATGTAGGAAGTTAAAAAAGGTCAAAATCAGTCAAATCAATGACAACTTAGCCATATTACTAAACCCCACTAAGTTTTACTTTACAAATTATTTATGGTGTGATTTAATTCAGTGCCCTACAATCATTCAGAGAATATCTAAAATTCGGAAGTAAAATCAACTGTATATTCAACGGTGCCGAAGAGACTGATTTTATTTAACACTGCAAGATGACACGCTTTGTATTCACTATTTAATAAAATTCTATGGATATTTACATATAAGATATGGTTCCAGGAGAAGTAAAAGGAGTAGGAAGAGCAGGAGGAAGAGGCATGGAGAAGGAGGAGGGGAGGGATGGAGGAGGAGGAGGAGGAGGAGGAGGACGGTCAGTGGTGGAAAGTCATTCACCCGAATTTCCTACTGTCCACCTAAACTGTACATTCTATCTTTAACACAATCGCTTTTCCTCACTATCTTCGGAAGTCGGATACCACTTGGCTCCAGATTCTTTATATCTTCATGAGATCTT